AACCATTTAGAATCAATGTTTATATATATATATATGAAAAGTGATTACTGAAATTCGAAATTCATGCATTGTAATACCAATAAAAAAATATAAAAAATTTTAAAATAAAAAAATTATGCAGAATTTTTTAGCAATAATCATTGAAAAGGTGATCGAGAAATGAAATAGACTTACAATGGAATTTGTGCAGATTAAACGAATTAAAAAGTGAAAACTCAAATTTGCAATTCAAAATTTTTAAAAATTTTTATTTTTTAAGAAAAAAAAGTTCAAGTGTTCAGGAACTATCTAGCGGGGCACAGATTTTTCACCAATTTATGCTTGAAAAAAAAAACATCTCTAGGAGTACAGAAAAGTCTCCCAATAGTCTCCTTTTCTTGAAAATAGTTGCTTTTTTACCCTTTTCAGGCAAAAAAAATTGCCATAGTCGCCTCATGCCAAAAATAGTTGCAAATAGTTGCATTTTAGTCGCCTGTGGCAACCCTGTTAGAATAGAAAAGAAAAGAGGGAAATGATATTAAACTTATAAATGCTTTAAATTAACCTGCTTAAATCTTTTTTCTTCAGAAAATGTTATTATAGTCTTGTGATATGTAGGCGAGAAATAAAAGAATAAAATAAACTGAATATTCACAAGTCCTTCCATTATTTTGTTATCATATTCAGAGTGCTTTATTTTTTCAAAATTTAATCCTGACTTTCTTTTGAGAGCGGCAGAGGAGGAAAGAGGGAGAATCAGTACGCCAATAAGTAGAAAATTTTTAATTGGCACTTTTTTATTACTTGATTACCATAGAAAAAAAAATACAGATGAATTTTCTTTTCAACCAGTCTCAGAAATTTGTTTATTATTGAATTAAGATTAATAGGTTTTATACATCTAATTTTGTCTTTTAACTGCTGTTTTGTTTTTCCCCCTTAATTTGCTTAAAGCAGTTAATTATTCAGTTGGTTTCCTAATAAGATTGAAAATTGCACTAATTAAGTAATTAAAGAATTTTATAACTATCACATACTTGGTAAGTTTATATATATATACACACACAAAAGTTTAACAGCAGTTTAACATTGTCCATTTCGTACATTATCCCATGTCTTACATGATTTTTAGCTGGTCCGTGAAAACTCTCTATACCGATAATGTTAAATTAAAAATAAGACGGATTTTATTTCACACTTTTTGAGAAAATCTCACACTTTACGTTTTTCTAACAGATCAAAATCATTTTTCCTATCCACAAAGCTCACACAAACTTTTACCAAGTTTTATTTTTCTTCATTAAAAAAAAAACTTGCTGATTAGCTGTTCTTGGCTTTACTGTGATTCCTTCTATTCTATCTTTTGTTACTTTGTCTGCAAGAAATTTCTTCCTTGAGTCAAAATCAGGGAGGGGAAGGGAGGTTAAAAAAAGTAAGAAAGCTTAAATTGTAAAATTTGGTGTGGAATTTTTTCTAGCAAGCTTCAACTTTTGAATCTCAGAATTATCCAATAATTTAAAAACGTTGCACTAAACATTTGGTTCGGCAATCATTTTTTATTTTTTTTATCTTGATTTTGGTGATCTGCAAGATGCTTCTAAAGCAAAAATAAACGTAATGGAAGCACTGGATTTGATTTCAGCATTAGGCAAACTAAAATGCATCACAAATGGGATTAATAAAGCTTCTTGGGGTTACTTGTTAATTGCTTCTCGGTTTCCAACAGGAACATTGACCGTTTGGAATAAAATTGCACGTCTGAAGATCTTTGACAATGCGTTTAGCGTATTACTTTTCAATTCCTTCAATTTTTTATTTAATGTCTTCTCCTGATGATAGTGATGAAATAAGATGAGCAAAAAATGACGGAGAATATATCTATATATATATATTTTTGCTGAAAGTTATTAAACTGTAAAAAATTATTGAAAATGAAATAAACAATTTGATAAACAAGTAAAATTTTACAAGATTTTAGTTTTTAAATTTCTGTGTCACTTTAATCTATATAAAGCGTTCTGTAAAACCATCCTTAATACATATTTTTAAAATTCTTTTCAAGAAAAGTATAAAAGAAAGTGTACATTTCAGATATTGAAAACCAATATTTAAACAAGAAAAAATGCAAAATCACTATTAAGGTCTAGTGAATAACAGAGTGAAAAAGGCAGAGCTGAAAACATCAAAGTTTGCACAATCTCTATACCAGAAGAAAAGTTGAAAGGTGACAGTTGCAAGTTTCATTAGGCAAACAAATTGGCTACAATGTTTTTCATTACTTTCTCCAAAATAGCAATTTAACACATCTGGTAATATTTGTTTATTCCTTGCTTTAATATTTAGTGACTTTGATGTACCTACTTTTATTTCCTTTAAGATAAGAATTGGAAAAATTTATATTAACTACCATCAACACAATACTTTCTATATAGATTTAGTGTTGTCTGTAATATATTCTAAAACCATGAGAAAAAAATTATTTCTCCATTCATTCAAATAGTTATATATTTAGACAAATTCTTTTTTTAAAAAAGTATTTTTAAAACCTTGTCTATCTTGTGTGTAACTAAAAAATAGATGCAGCAATAAAAAAAAAAAAATTAAAACAATGCATGTTTGGATGTCACCAGCAAATACATTACATAAAACAGAAAAGTAAGGTTTATAAAAAGTTTCAACAAAATTTAATGTTTTCTATACTATACATGACTATACATGAAATAAAGTTAATTAATAGAATGAATTTAAAGTTACAGAATTTAAAGCAATGATTGATTATTATTTCAAAAAATGATGATAAACTTTACTGTTACCTTCATTTATGACAGATTCTCGGATGACAACAGTCCCTCCAGGTTTTAGAATACGAGCTATTTCAGAAAATATTTCTGCAGGGTGAAATGCTAAGGTCGGGGTAAGTGTTCCACAGTAAACAACATCAAATGACGAGCTAGCATGATCAGCTAAAAATTACATAAAAACGAAATAAACTCATAAATATAACAAATCATAACGAATGCCTAAATTGAGTATTGAAAGTTATGGTAAAATAAAATGTATAAATGTTAATCTACAAAATAAGACGCTCTTTGCATTTCCACATTTAATATTGAAAAAGAAGAATATTCATATATTCAGATTCATTCTAACATAAATTTTTCACAAAATGATTTTTCAATTTTTTTCTAAGTATAAATAATAGGATTCAGAAAAAGATAAAGTTTCTTTTAGTAAAAAGATAATGTTTCTTTCTGCTTTCTTTTAGTAACATATGATTTCAGCATGCTTTAATATTATAATAATTCTGTTTTCCTGAACTTAGTTTAAAAAAAAAATTTTATTATATAATCTAATGACTTTACCAGTGACTGCTACTAAACTGCAAGCTATAAAAAGATAGCATCTCATTGAAATTTTTATCATTAAAATGAATAAAATAAAGTTCAACTTACACACAATCAAACGTTCTAAATTTTCAACTGCAACTAATCCACTAGCTGTTTTTTTAAGTTCATCAACTACCTCAATCAAATGCTCTTGCTTTGCAGGTGGTCCCCAAAGCAATAATATTTTGCCACTGTTTTCAGGACTAGGACTCATACTAAAAAATAAAATAAAATTTATAGTTTAAAACTAATTTAAATAACCATGTTTTTAACTTGGTTGATTAACCAAAAAATTTACAGCTTATCTATGAAGCACTAAGCAATTGTTACCTTTACTAATCATACCATATAATTATAAAACTCTAAACCAGTTATTGAATTTAAGCTCTCTTTTAAAATCAGATACTAAGGATTAAATAGGTAGAAAATATTATTCGATTAAGAAATAAAGGAAAATTCAACAAGGGGGTAAAATCAAATGCCTATAGAAATAAGAACAAAATGAAACACAATATATGAAAATAGATATGATAGAAGTATATGATAAATGTTCAATTATTACTACCACAAAAAATTTGGTATAAAAATTCAAAAAGCATTTGTCAAAATACTCTTTGAAATAAAATTTGGTATCAGAAATCAAGGATAAATGGTCAAAATGGGACTTCGCATTTACATAAACATACTTGAATACAGGATCTTATTAATAGGCATTTGCAAGATGACGTTAAAAAAATTTTTGGACATAACCACAATATGTCATCAGTTCTGAGCGGAGAAAAAAAGATTTCATAGACTATACAAATTAAAAGGTAATCATTATAAAATAATAATAATAAATTATGTAAAATATAAACTCAAATAACTAGATAAAGATATTAACAATATTAGTAAAAACTAACTTCATAAGATTTTTAAAAATTTTTTTGAAATTACGCTTGTTGATATACACAATTTTTAAACCATTATGTGATCCAAACATCTAATAAATTTTTGGTAATTTCAATATTTTAATAAATTTTGTTAACTTCAATAATTTGACAAGCATTTAAATAGTTGACAACCCATAAAAAGACAACACATCCACATTTTAGATATGATACCTATATTGACTATTTACAAACTTAGAATTTTTATGACATTGCATGCAGTAAATTGCACTAGCAGATCACAATAAATGAGTGAAACCAACTAAAATAACAAACAATTAAGCTATTAAAAATAAATAATATGATTTACATTAAATGTAATTAAAACTTCCGAACACTTATTTGCTTTTAAAAGGACAAGGTCAAATACATAATCTATTTACGAGTCTTCCCAAAAACAACTTCGTGAATTACATAATTATCAACAGTTGAGTAACACTTCTACTTTTGAACTTTTACTTCTACTTTTAAGCTATTAAAAATAAATAATATGATTTACATTAAATGTAATTAAAACTTCCGAACACTTATTCTCTTTTAAAAGGACATGGTCAAATACATAATCTATTTACGAGTCTTCGTGAATTACATAATTATCAGCAGTTTAGTAACACTTCTACTTTTAAAATTTTATTAAAGCGTGTCATCAAGTCTAATTGAACATTTATAAAAACTAATAATACTTTCAAATACTTTACAGGCAAAAAAGAAAAAATTACTTTTTATAATCTGATAGAAGTTACTCCTGGAATTTCAAGAAAATATTGCACCAAAATGTAAACAACAGGAAATTTGTTCTTTTCACTTCTTCCACTTCTTACAGGAAAAGTGTTTCGAGTTTAAGGTAAAAGTTTAAGGGAAAAATTTAAGAGAAAAGTGAATCTGCCTGTGAAAAAATTTTCATTTGAATTTTTTAAGCTAATTTTTTGCAGTTTTATCATTTTTATAATATTTGTATTGCGCGAGGGAGAAAATATTACAGTAAGATTAGTCCTGAAAAAATTTATTTAAAAGGAAATGGAATTTATTTAGAAAAATGGCATCATTCCTTTATTGGGAAATTGTGTTTACATTTAGCAGACAACAATTGTGGGAGTTTCGATGTAACAATTTTGTTTGAAATCATATATTTCATTGTAGTTCAGTCATTTACTTCAATAAATTACCTGATGCAAAGATGTCAAAAAAATGGAATTGTATCGTCATTACATGTCCTACTCTATCCTCAGTAAAATCAACTGAAAAAGGTTTGTTTCTAAACATGCCCACGAAGTGTTCCATCGATACTTTAATTTCCATGATAAATTGTTTTTCAAATTTCTTTTTTCATTTACTGGTGCCTTGAAGGGTGGTAAATTTAAGGAGCAGCATGTAGATAAATCTTAAGCTCCGTTCAAGTTGATGAAAATATTTTTAAACTATCCTATCCGAAATTTTGTGAAAATTTTCTACTAAAAGTTTATGTGGAAGTAATGGTTCATTTAAAAGTGTATTATTCCGAAATTTGAAAGAAAGAAAATCATAAATCTATATGAAGTACTAATATTCATTTTTAAAAGATATCTTAACGAATTTTCCATTAGCATGGCAAATTACTTAAAGGATAATGAATATTATGTGAATAAGGGAGAATGATGAATATTATGCGATTTTACAAACAATATTGGCATGCTTGAATGGCAAAAAGATATAAATTAGGAAGGATACTTGTTGGGGCAGTGGTTTTAATACCAATAAAATATTTCATTCATAAACAAAATTATTGATAGTATTATTACTCTTCAATTTTATGGTACTTTTATCTATCTTTATATTCTTCTGTAGCCTATGGCATGTTTTTTAACAGTTATGGAATACTCAAATCATAAACAAATTACATGTTTAAGTACATTTTATTTTATTTGTTACAGTCACATGATTAAAATCATCTGTAACCTCTATCTTTTCCTTTCAAAAATTTTAAAGATAAATAATTCAATTAATAATTATGTGTTTATAATGTTAAGGTGAGAGGGATCATTACTTTAAAAACACTAAGCTGTCTTTGAGGAAATGGGGTTCGATTCTCGGTGGAAGCTAAAAATTCACCCATTGATACAGATTCAGTGAAAAGCTTGTCTGGGAAGTAAGGGCGACCTGTACATATTACTGTCCACATTACTACAATCAATTATGCTGTTGGTTGTGAATTTGTAGAGCCTTAACCTTGATAATCCTCTTGGCCCACAAGAGATGTGATGGGAATTCATTACTTTTTAATCATCAAAAGATAAACACAGTGCATGCACTTCATAAATTTACTTTATTGTTAATTCATTGAAAATAACCTGATAGTTATACTTTTGTAAAGAGAAAATTCCTATGAAAAATTTTTGTTTTTTCTTTCTACAGAGATTACATTTCTGAAACAGAAACATAGAATTGCTGAATCCATATGTGTTTTGACCATTGAAGATCCTGCTAAAAACATAGGTAGCGGGGCAGCTACTCTAAATGCATTGCTGGTTGCTACAGAATATCTGAGTGCTAAACAGAACTATACAGTATACATTCTATTATATGTAATTACATTTACCATTTTAGTAAACAATTTTACAGTTTCCTTTTTTTTCTAGGTGATCTCATCAGATGTTTTGCTTGATGCTCACATATTAATTTTGCATAATGTATGTATATTTTTAGTATTTTTTAAAATTTATTTTTGAAATTTTGTTGTCTGAAACTTAATTTGTGTCATTCAGGGTAGAGAAAATTTATGGAGCTGTTCTGAAAAAGCATTTATACCTTTGCCTATTGAATACTCTTCTAAATACTCTAATGAAAGGTTCTATGCTAATGGAATACAGAGTAATTTAGATGCTGCCATTCTGTTCATTGAAGAGGTAAAATATTATTTAAAAAATATTTAACAAATTTATGTTGTTAAAATCATTTCATTGATAAATCAAGGTGGTCTCTGAATAGGGAAAATGAATGTCAGAGGAAATTAAGTAATTTAAATTTGATGTACATTAAAGTCCAAGATTTTTCGATAAAAATTAGACTTATAATGTATATGTATATATTTTTAATTCATACAATTTTAATAGCAAGTATGTATTGTAATATATTTTATGCATAAAAACAAGATCCAACTAAACAATAACAACTAAGATTATGTCACCAATTATAAAAATCAGGGAAATTCAATAAAACTAGTCTTGGAAAAACCAAGAAATTTTTTTCTAAGTGTTTCTGACAACCCTGTAAATTTCTGTGACAATAAAAATTTAATGAGTTACGAATTTATGGAGCAGTTCTAAAAAAGTTTTTAACCTTTGCCTGTAGAATATCTTAAGTACTCTAATGAAAGACTCTGTTCTGATGCTATACAGAGTAATTTAGTTGCCCCCCTTCAATTCAATGTGGAGATGAAAAAATTATTTCGAAATTGACAATTTTTTACTGTTAAAAACATGTTATTGATAAATTTCTGTTACAATATTAAAACTAATATTGTAAAGATCACATAGTATGATATTAATTTATTAGGTATTGTGATTTGAAGGCATAGAAATATCTCCAAATGCTCAATTTTTGTGTTTAGTTGGATAGAGTTAAGTTGTAGATTTATAAATGCGTAACAGGTGTACGGATTCAAGCTACCTCTGACAGATCCTTTTAAAATGAAAACCCATCTGTCATTTTATTGTTTTTAAAATTTATGTATCTTCTTAAATGTCTGTTCAGTTTAATTTTCTAGCTTCAACTCAATTTTCTAATTTGACTTTACCTAATTTATTTTAAGAAACTAATCTGATTCATAATAAATATGTAACTGTATAACTCTTTAGAATTTTAAGTAGATTGAACTGCAATTGGTACATATACCTCAATTATATTTTACAAAAAATTTCTGGGTGAAAACTACTATTTATGAAATTATAATATTGTGACTAAGTTGATTTATTAATTTTGTTTGTCTAATTCAATTTTAATTTTCAGGAAGAAAAAAAATTTTCCTTGCTGTGTGATGTTAGTCTTGATTTCCAGTTAATCACAATCATTTGTCATTCAAATAAAATGTATTTAATTGTGCAAGTCATATGTTCAGAAAATTTAAATAGTAAAATTTGAACCTTTGAGATGTCTGTTTGAGTTATTGTGATATTGGAAAAAATCTTGGCTACCAACAACTCCAACAAGTAGCATTTTATAGCTCAGATTTTATATATTGTAGTATATATAATATACATTAAAGTAAATAGTTTGCAGAGTATTTTTTTATTCACTAATACTTTGTTTGCCTCAAACATAGTTTTTTTTTTTTGATATCACTTCTAAAAACCAAAGATTTCTATCTTGATGCTTAGTTTTGGGAAGAAATGAAATTTTATTCAAAGTATATTTTAGTATGACATTAAAACATTCTGTCAAATATCCACAAAAAGTTTATTATTTGTTTAAAAAAAGGGAGATTGAATACACTATTTTTGAAGTTTTGAAAAGTTTGAAAATAATTTACAACACATTTTTCATTGAGTATATGAAAAATTCTAAATAATAATCTATAATATATGTGTGTTACATTATTTTGTAATGATAATACAAATCATTAAATGCAAATTTAAAAATTCTTATTGAAAAAGAAATTTAAAATTTTTATTATTATATTTGGAAAGATACAATTTTTGCTGGTAAGATTTTTGTGAAGGTAATAATTACAGTAGCATAATCAATTTATTACTGCCTGATTGCTGATATATTTAAATTTAACATAAGAAAAATTTCTTTATGTGGATGCATTTATATTGTATCATTATGTGCAACTTTTATTTATTCATTTATACTTTTTTTCAGTTAGCTATTTCTTGTCCCCCTGGTGTTTGGGTTTGCAGTTCAGATATGATGCTACTTTGCCACCAAAGTAAGATAATATGCAGCGATTGAATTCTTTCAATAATTTTTTCTTTTTTTAAAATGTAAATTGCTAAACATTATGATTTGCTTCATCATAAAGTATTTCATCGTAAAGCAATTATTTTATAAAAGTAGATCATATCTAGAATTTGCATATATATTACTTAAATTACAATATAGTTTTAAAAAATATGGCTCTACAAATTCTACCTAAGTAATTTATTAGTTGTATTTTTATAATTTATGTTAATAAATAACGTTGTCCAAGCGTCCAGTTAATGGAGAAAAATTCGAGATTTCTACTATTTTCTAATAGTAATGTTAAAAATAATATCTTATGTATAATGCTCATTAAGCTGTAATGATATATATAATTGCAGCTTTTTGTATATTTACTTTGAAATTGTTGCAAAGAAATAGATATTTTATTTTTTCCCAAGCAATTTTTAACTAATTATAAGTTATTTTCATTATTATTTCTAAAGTATAAAATAATAAATCTTGCCAAAGAGCTTTACCTTACAATGGTTAGTACTGTTAATGCTGAGTAAGGGACTTATGAAATGACTCTTAATGAAAATTTTAAAAGTAGGGTTTATTAATCACTATCATTCTTTCTCACAGACATATTCTTGACAGTTTTGTGGCTGCTTTTCATAACTTTTTAGGAAATTTGCTCTGTAAAAGATACTGCCCTTGAAAATTTCCCTTGAACTTCCCTAATTCTGACAATTTTGTAGCTGCTTTTCATAACTATGTAGTAACTTTACCAATTTTTTTTTTCTTTCTTTTTTTTATGACTACCACTATAGTTTAACTTCAATGGCTTAGTTCAATCTAATTGTTTCTGGCCAATGGCCAAGCGGATATTCTTCTTTTAATGGCAGTACTAATGGACAAAATCGAAGGGACCAATCAAAATCAATATAGGACCATAAAAATTTTACAAAATATTTAATCCATCTCCATGACAGTTTTATGCAAATAATACACTAGTTGAGCATTGTAATATTAGTTAAGTTAGTTGCAGATGTATCTAATTACTTATTAACATTTATAAAATAATTTTTGGATAGAAATCCAAAACTACTATTAAGTCCTTATCAGTAGTCACTACTAATTCAAGTTGGTAATTCATTGATTCTAAAAATAAATTGAGATTATTTGATTAATTATGATTTTGTACAAGTTAATTGGCATTATGTTATCTTATTACAGTTGTTAAACATCTGCTATTTATTCAGACTTACGTTTTCTGATCATGTAATGCATTTTTTGATGTATAAATGTTATGGAATAATGAAAATATTCAGAATTACAAATTACTATATTAAAAGAACAATTTTTAAAATATTTTCATCTCATTATTATAAAAATTTTTAGTTAATTATCGTGAGAGTTTGAAATTTTAACATTGGAATACCTGAAAATAAAAACTTATCACCATTGTATCCAAGATTGATTAATTAATTTATTAATCTTTTTAATTTTGTGATTATTTTAATTTAATGAATTAAAACAATTAAGGAGAAAGTGAATTTTGTACTCAAACTCACTCCATTTCTGACATTGGTTTTAAAGAATGTTAGTTTGGTACTGGTCTTTCTAATTTTCTCTTTTATAAATAATTAAGATACTAAATCTATGTACTATAAAAAATTTTTTTTGATGTTTTATGTTACTTTTTATTTTACACGTTTATTGGTGAATGTAAATGTTACTTTCTCTGTAGAGTTCATAAATTCTTGGGAAAATGTTGGTGATGTTGTTATGTTTTGTGTTCCATCTGAAATAAGTTATGCGACTGGACATGGAGCTGTGTTAATTGATGATAAGGTGATATTGTTATACTTGTGTTTGGTGAATTAGACTTTTTCTATGTTTAAACATATTATTTTATGTCACATGTATGCATAAATTAAATTAACAAAAAGTTGTAATTTTAAATTTTTGTTTCAAAAGGACTATTTGAATAGTTGAATTTAACTTTTGGAATTATTCTTTCAAAATTGCAATCTTTAAAGTAATGTAAAAATTTGTGTACCTTATTAATTAAGGATTTTCCAAGCATTATTAAGTAAAAAAAAATAATAATTTTAGAAATATTTCTCTTCTAAGAAAATTTCTTTGGATAGCTTTATACTTGAGTACAGAAATTGTTTGATTCAATTAAATTATTCAAAAGATATTGCAAAGTATGTACACTGTGCAAAATAAAAAAGCTGACCTCCCTGAATAACTTTTGATCTGATGATCGAATCTTCACGTTCTTGGACTTAATATTAAAGGTTTTAGAGGATGACCCCAAATATTCTAATTAATTAGTGCAGGCGATATTTTAAGTTACAAAATCAGACTCAAAAGCGTAATTTCTCTGAATAAACATACCTTTTTTTACATATTCGAATTTCTGATCCCCAAAATATAGGGGGTTGCTGTAAGCAGGAAAATTTTGTCCCCATAGTTTGGTCAGGAAAGCGGCCCAAAGTTTGGACCCCTTAAAGTTAATTTCATTTTTTTGTGCATTTCTGTATATCTCAAAAACTTTTTAACCCAATTGAAAATTTTTTGTCCACAATTATAAAATTAGTTTATCCTAAGATAATTCCATGAAAATTATAACTTTTAGTAAATATTTATTATTTTTGATATTTTATTTAATAATAGTCAAAAGAATTGTGAATTGTAAGGTATATAATTTTTTGCATAATTTTAAAGAATGTAATTTTACATAGCAAAATCAGTCGAATAGTTCCTGCGAAATCTAATTTTAAAGAAGCCGTATTTTTAAAATTGGATTTCTCAGGAATTATTCAACCAATTTCACCCAAACTTTGTATTTTGGCTTGTAAAAATACATACTTTAAAATACTGTAAAAATTTTGTACCTTACTATTCAAAAATTTTTTGACCATTATTAAATAAAATAATAAAAAATAATGAATATTTCCTAAAAGTTATTTTTTTAATGGAATTATCTTTGGATAATCAAATTTTATAATTGTGTGCAAAAATTTTTCAATTTGCTTTAAAATTTCTCATGACATGGCGAAATACTCAAAAATAAAGTTAACATTAAGGGATCGAAGCTTTTAATCGCTTTCCTGATCAAACTATGGGGGCCATATTTCCCATATTGCGACTGCCTCCTTCATTTTGGGTGTCAGAAATTCGGTCTATCAAAAAAAAGGTATATATTTAAGGAAAGTACGATTTTGTGTCGTACTATATTTTTCTACCTTAAAATATTGTCTTCACTAATTAATTGGCATATATGAGATCACTCTTCGAATCATTAAGATTGAATCCTAGAACATGAGGATCTGATCATTAGATTAAAAGTTATTTTGAGCGACCCGTTTTTTATTTAGTGTACTGTACATAAAAAGTTAAATCAACTTTTAGGCGTCCAAACTTTTAATAACATTAAATTATCAGGTATGTTTATTTTCAGATTGAGACTGTTCCCCATATTTTGATCTCAAATAAGGCATGTTTACACTGAGAAAGTATGTTTTAGTTTCTGATTTTGTAACTGTAAATATGTTTAATGTTAGCATCTCAAACTGTGAAGATTGCATCCTAATTAATACATGACAATCAGATTGTTGGATTTTTTGTTGGAAAAGCTCTTAAGAGGACGCAATACCTACCCTCTCAATATTGATGTTGTTCACTGCGGTTTTTGTCTATCAGTTAGGCATTGACTAACGAATGTAGCTAGGTATCATACTAGAAAGAACAGTTACAGTAAACGACTGAAGATCATATCCAAAAATGCAGTTGAAAGTCTTCCGCGAGATAGATTCCAATGTAAAAAAAATTTGTTTTTTTCACCGAATATCGTCTCAAAGAGCATACATTTAGCTCGTATCGTATATAATATGTTTTAATAAACTGTTCATTATGAGTGCAAGATACAGAAAAAATCAAACAGGAAAAGCACTTAGATTATCTGCTAAGAGGAAAGTGAATAGAGGAGAGAAATTCAAAGAGTGGCGTAAAAAGTAAGTTTCTTTTTTTTTCTCATGATAAATACAATTTAAAAGAGTTGTTATAATGTAATTTGGTTATTGACTAAGTATACTGGTTGTTAGCAAAACGTACTGTAATTTATTATTCATTATAAAAACTTCTTAGCAAAATTTTCAATATATATATATATATAAATATAAATATAGGGCAAAATTGTAACATATCTATGTAATTTACAATATTGAAATTTTTACTAAGAAGTTTCATGCTTCATAATTTATACAAAGTCTTTTTGTTCTTAGTCTAAGTAAATTGATTATTTTTTTTATTTAATTATTGCATTTTTAATATTATACAGTTTTTGAAGTTATATAATTTCATTCATTTGAGAACAGACAGCTTATTCTTCCGAGAAATGTCTCCTAATTTGCTTGCTCTGTAATTTTAAAATAATTGCAATTATTTTTCGCAAAAATTTTTGCTTTCATCACATTTCCAATAAATAATAGATTCTTTGTTTTGAATAATATAAAAAATTATATAGTTACAGCCACTAGTGACTTTAATTAATGAAGACATATAATGTTACTCTTATCTGCTTTCCAACATACAAATTTAAATTTTCGTGTTTGGAAATCTAAAAAATACAATTTCTTTTAATTCCGAAATATCACAATAGCATCGGTTGTTCATTGCATAAAATTTTGAGGAATAAGTTCTAGTGCCAAATAAAAAAAATCATGTAATAGGCTTTATAAAATTTTATCCCCAATCAAATTTTTAAATAAATAAAATGCTCTTGTTTATATCTTATTCCTTTGTATTTTAAATTATACTATTTTTCATTATCAATGTTTGTTCTTCAATTAATTTAGTTCTAATACAAACACAATATAAATGTAGAAACAATTTTACCCCAAAATTATAACCTCACTGTCAAGATTTTGTCAATTTCATTTTTAAAAAACTAAAAAAAAAGAAGAAAAAAAAAGTTTAATGATGCTTAAAATTCTTCTTCTTTCTATTTGACTAGATGATCTCATGTATACTTTTATTGCTGCTCATGTTTGCTTTCACACATAAATATGCACTTTTCGGTTATGGCTTCTCAGTTCTGGATTGATTGTTACAATTGTATAAATTGTCGGCTAGAGAAACTATTTATAGAAATTTGAATAACAATGCGTGCTAGCTCCAAAAGGAAAAAAAAAAGTGCCACTATATGTGTATATATGCATATATATATACTTCCTATTTTCTCATTTCGAGCTTAAAATTATACTATTTTGCATTATCAATGATTATTCATAAATTTATTTTATTCTAATACAAAGACAATAAAAATGTTGACACGAAATTATATCCTCACTGTCAATAATTTTGATTTGAAAAAAAAAAATTTAAAAAAAAAGTTTAATGATATCTTAATTCTCTTGAATCTTACTAAACGTAGAAGTGCAATTGGTCATTTTGAAAAAAAAACTTTTTTTTCTATTCAGCAAGGTCGTGTTGCTAGAACGGATTTCCGAAAAGCTGAAATATTCTAAATATTTTCCATAGCCTAGAATTTAATTATTAGATTGATTGGCCTATGTCTACAATATAATCTGTACAACTTACTCAGATTTGATACTCAGAATCTGTGTCTTGATGCATATGCTAGCCACGAATATGGGTCATTTTCAAAAAATTTATATGCAATGTTTTAAAGTAACTTTAATTACTGAAATAAAATTCCAAAAAATATTTTTATACATTAAAATTAATATGTTTTTAGTAATTGTACATACGAAAACATTAGTTCGTTAAAAATAATACCTGTGAAGTGTTGTTTTAACACGATCAATGTATCTAAATTGCCAATTCGCAGTAATAATAAATTTACTGAAAGAAAATTCTTTGCTTTTATTTTTAGCGCGACAAATTGTTTAAACAATGTGAATGAATGTCAAAATAGAAACACAAAACTTGGTACACAAGTGTTACAGTATTATTAATTTTGTATGGGCTACCATTTTTGATATAGATTATCAATAGTAGCGGAAGTTCAAATTGGCGGCCTCTTAATTAATTAATTTATTAAAATTAATTTATTTTTTCTATCATTGCGAATGATCTCCTTCAAAGAAATAAAATTTGATATTTCTGTTTTCATTAATATGCATGTTACATGAGGCGATCAGTATCTCTGTCTCACTTCGCTCAATGACCCTTATTATTATTTAAATCATTTTATTTCCTTAATGGTGAGCGAGAGGTTTCTATAAAGCATTATGTATAATTCTGTTTGTAATAATATTTGACATATTTCATAAATAATGTCTTTGCTTAATTCACTTTTTTGAATTACTGGAACAAGTATTTATACTTATTCAAAAGACAGTATAGTTCTAATAGCCAAAAAATAAAAAGATGTTTCTCTGAGAAAAATTAATGCATAAGGCAGTTTTTTAATAAAAATCTCTATTATTTTATTATAAATGATGCATAAAAACTGTCCTACTTCCATGCACGCTTCCCTCCCCTTTTTTTTTAGGGAAATAAGGAAAGTTTGAGGGAACTTCCAGAGTATCTTCCAGATAGGCAAACGTGGCAAATTTTTTCTATGTATTTTCATGGGGAATGAAATGAGACTAATTCCGAGAAGACCGAACTAATTATGAAGACTTCTATGACTAAAAGCACTAATTTGTATTTTATCCTGTTTTCACATCCGATATTGCTATCTAAGCTAGTGAGACTTTCTTACCTGTGTAGTTTTTGACGCTGAGTGGAATAAAATTATACACCACCAATAAAGGAGAAAGCGTAGAGAGGGGAGTAAGGAAACTTGAGTCGGTAGCCTAGAATTTAATTATTAGATTGATTGATCTATGTATACAATATAATCTGTACAACTTACTCAAATTTGATACTCAGAATCTGTGTCTTGATGCAAATGCTAGCCACGAATATGGGTCATTTTCAAAAAATTTTTATGCAATGTTTTAAAATAACTTTAATTACTGAAATAAAATTCCAAAAAATATTTTTATACATTAAAATTAATTTAATATGTTTTTAGTAATTGTACATACGAAAACATTAGTTCGTTAAAAATAATACCTGTGTTTTAACACAATAAATGTTTCTAAATTGCCAATTCGCAGTAATAATAAATTTACTAAAAGAAAAATCTTTGCTTTTATTTTTTGCGCGACAAATTGTTTAAACAATGTGAATGTATGTCAAAGTAGAAACACAAAACTTGGTACACAAGTATTACAGCATTATTAATTTTGTATGGGATACCATTTTTGATATTGATTATCAATAGTAGCGGAAGCTCAAATTGGCGGCCTCTTAATTAATTTATTAAAATTAATTTATTTTTTCTATCATTGCGAATATTTCTGTTTTTATTAATATACATGTCACATGAGGCGATCAATATCTCTGTCTCACTTCGCTCAATGACCCTTATTATTATTTAAATCGTTTTATTTCCTTGATGGTAAGCGAGAGGTTTCCATAAAGCATTATGTATAATTCTATTTGTAATAATATTTGACATATTTCATAAATAATGTCTTTGCTTATTTCACTTTTTTGAATTACTGGAACAAGTATTTATACTTATTCAAAGAGAGGGGAGTAAGGAAACTTGAGTCGGTGATTTTTTCCAAATAAACAACCCTTTATCTACTCTGATTAATGGACTTATTATAAAATAAGTGTGAGTCCGTTAATTTATCCATAAAATTTGAGTTAAATATCTTATTAATTAAAAATGGCATACATCAATAAAAATAGAATAATGCAGAATACTTTAAATGCTATTATCTGCTTAATATTAAGATTTCTCTGAATATATTTGTTATTAATTTATTATGTTTTTTTTTCTTTGAAAAAATTATGACATTAAAGTCTTATTACTTTCAGGCAACAGGAAAAGAGAGCTGAAGAAATATCTTCTAATAGTGGAAATGTTGGGCAAGATTCGCATTTTTCTAATGAAAATATTGATACACCAGGAGTTGAAATTTCATATGAAGACAATTTTGAAATATCAGGCAAAAGAATTGTTGACATTAAGTTTTTTGTCAATAAACTTCAACAGTTGAATAAGCATAGTCCATTCGGATGCAGTTTATCTGATATGGATATAACTTCTGAAATTAGAAGAGGCTTAATATCTGGGCTTAAATTTAAATGTAAAATGTGCAATTTAACAGAAGTGATATGGACTGAAAACTTAAATGAAAATTTAATGAACTCCAATACGGCTGCTGTTGCAGGAATTATAAAAGTAGGTGCAGGATTTGCTAACATGGAGGAACTTTTTTCTACAATGAACATTCCTTGTATGACCAACAAAACTTTCACTAATGAAAATGAAAGCCTTTCGCAGGCTTGGCAGCTAGCTGCGTTGAATGAAATGAGTGATGCTGCAAAAGAAGAAAAAAATATTGCGATAGGAAAAGGTGATGTTGATTTAGATGGAATCCCTCTAATTACAGTTACTGTTGACGGTTGCTGGGGGAAAAGATCATATAGAACAAACTATTCCTCTTCATCTGGTGTAGTAAGTACAATTTATTTTTGTTTCATATCATTTTTTTGATTATTTAACTATAATCCCAGCTGCAAAGATTATCATCATTTATTATTATCATATCAGAAATTTAAAATTTAATATTATTTAACATCATATCAAAAATTTTACAGTGTGTGACTAAATTATATTCAAACAGAAAATTAATTTACACCATAAACAATATCCATTTTTTCTTCGTTGTAAACATTGTTTGCACAGAAAGCTTTTGAGGATTACGCTTATAAATTATTTGGTAAACCGGGTTTCATAGTTCTTTGCAATGCTTTAATGAATCTAACATTTCAGATAAGTATGACAGAATTTTACTATTGAAAATCTTGTAAAAAAAACTAGAAGTTAATTCCATCAGGGACCGTTCAAAACAAATTCAGGATCAAGGTCCACCAAATTTTCCTGGCCTTTTACAAAATATTTTGAAATTAAATTTCTGAAGAGCAGTCCTAACCATGAAAATGAATTTATTGAACTGCATGATTCAAGAGACACAATCTAAGAAATTTTAAGAGCAGACGATTGGAGATTATTTTTCGAAGATAAAGTTTACGCATCTATTTATTAAAGCAAAACTTAAAAAAAAAAATAAATAAAACAATAAAAATAAAAAAAAAGCTATGTCAAAATAAAAATAGTTTGGTGACCACAAACAATTGATATTAGTGATATTTGTGATAAGCTGAATTATTTTTATTGTAAGCTGTAAATATTTTTTATTTAGTACTTAAACCAACGCAAATCTAGCCCACCTTTAATTAGATTTAACGATAAGTTCAGCAAGTATGCTAAGATATTAAGGCTACTAATTATAATTTATATGAAATAAAGCATTTCAACACATAAAAATTATCCAAAAGAGATAAAATTGTATCGACTTATAGGAAATGAAAAACACATTTAAATAATAATTTATTTAGATATGAGAATTTCAAAATCCTGCTCTGTAGTAATATCTGATTCACATTACTGCTTTAAATTTGATCTTAAATATTACTAATTATATATAAAAGCAGAATATATATATATATATATATATATAAAAGAAGGAAAGTTATGTTCAAATAAAAATAGGTGAAGACATTTTTTTTTAAAGAAAAACTGTTTCTTTCAATATTTTAAAGAAATAGTAATATTGAGGATTTTTTACCAATTTTTGAGGTCCCGCAGAAATTGTGGGCCCTAGGCCCATGCCTATAGGGCCTAAACAATGATCAGGCCCTGAATTCCGTTGATTTTCAGAACATTTTAATTAGTATATAAAAATTACTAATGTTTCTTAAAAGTTGTGTTTTTTTAATTATTTTTTATTTTTCATTATATTATAGGCTTCTATTGTTGGCCAAGCTACAGGAAAAGTTCTTTTTCTTGGAGTGAGAAACAAATATTGCTGCATATGCTCGCGAGCAACTACCAAGCAAGTATCACCTGCGAAACATGTTTGCTATAAAAATTGGTCTGGGAGCTCTTCAGCCATGGAATCGGACATTTCAGTTGAAGGCTTCAATAATAGCATTCAAATGCATGGATTAATTTATTCTAAATTCATTGGAGATGGTGACAGCAATTTCTTTAAGAAGATTTTAGATTCTCGGCCATATGACTCTGTCACCGTCGAAAAAATTGAATGCACTAATCATCTGTTGAGAAATGCTTGTAATAAGCTAAAAGAAATTGTTAAGTGTGGTAAGTACGGGCACCACACACTAAGGAAGTTGCTCGACGATCGAATTCTTAGATTTCGGACAGCAGTTACCATGGCCGTTCGATTCAGAAAAAACGAAGAAAATGCAAACGAAAACAATCGAATCCGTGCCTTGAAAGAAGACATTTTAAACGTACCTATGCATATTTTTGGATGCCACGACCATTGCGCCTCATACTTCTGTAAAAAGAAGGAAGAAAAAAATTTCATTGTAGATCTTAAATCTATTGGCCTACTTGAGAAAGTAATGGGAGTAGTGAATCACCTGGCTGACAACTCTAGAAGCTTACTGTTCAAATCCAACAACAATAGCGTTGAGCAGTTCAACAGCATAATTGCTAAATTTGTTGGAGGAAAGAGGGTCAATTATAGTCAGCGTGGCTCCTATCAAACACGGTGTAACGCTGCAGTTGTCT